GTGATCGCCACGACCGCCGGTTCGTCCGTAGTCATGGACGGGGTTGAGTTTCGAACGCTTATCGACACAGGTGCATCCGCCACCATTATTTCTGAGCTTATTTTTAACATTCTGCTGGATACCTGTCGTTCTCTGCGCCCTTTTCGAGGTATCGTGTGTTGCGGCAAACGTGGGGTTCGCTAGGTATAATAGGCCAAATTCACGATCAAATTGCCATTGGGGATATTAAATTGTCAGGGCCAATCCTGGTCTCGTCGTCCCTGGCCGCTCCATGTTTGATGGGCACTGATTTTCTGGTTAAAATGTCCATCAAAATACTCATTGACCGAGGTTTCATTGAGTTACCCTCGGGTCGCCATTTGGCATTTCTTCCCCACCCGTCTAAGCTTTGCTAACACTACGGTGCAGGCGCTCGCAGCCGTAACCGTCCGGATCCCGCCGGGCATGCAGATGTTAGTGCCACTCCGTTTCCATAAACCTCTCGACCCGGCTGCAACTTCGGCTGGGATACTGTTGGGCCAGTCTAATACGGCAGTACGAGGATTAGAACTCGTGGGGGCGCAGACCCTGGTGTCCGCAGACAGAGAACCGTTTTTACAGGTTCTTAACGCCGGCTTAATGATATCCGTAGTACCCCAGGGCACGGTTCTTGCCCATGCGTCGCCAGTGCTTCGCGACGCGTGTGTCGTCGGTAGCGTTGCGGCTCGGCCTAGTCCGACGCCATGTTCCGGACCGGATGTCCGATGGGTCAACTCCCTGTGCTCGGAATTGACCGAGCTCTCCCGAGTCACAGCGCCAGAAATTGTGGTCACTCATCCTGGAATTTTCGGACATTTTTAGCAACGGCAAATTCGATCTTGGCCGCACAAAACTGCTCAGTCACCACATTGACACGGGCAATGCCGCCCCCATTCGCCAGAACCCCTACAGGCTCAGTCCTGCGGAGAAGGAACACGTTCGGCTGGCCGTTGATGACGTGCTGGCAGACCGACATTATTTCACCATCCACTAGCCCATGGGGTGCGCCTATAGTTCTCGTTAAAAAACACGACGGAAGCTTGTGCTTCTGCGTCGATTTTCGAAAGCTCAATAAAGTTACTATCACTGATGCGTACCCATTGCCAAGGATGGACGACTCACTTGACGCCTTGGCCGGCGCTCGGTACTTCTCCACACTTGACCTCGTGTCGGGATTCTGGCAATTGCCATTGGACGAGGCGTCTCGACCCAAAACGGCTTTCCGCACGCCGCAGGGTCTGTTTGAGTTCAATCGGCTCCCGATGGGCCTCCATTCCACGCCAGCAACATTCCAAAGGTTAATGGAACTCGTTCTGGCCGGTTTGCAGTGGGACTCCTGTTTGTCTTCAGCCGCACCTTCGACGAACATCTCTAACGGTTGCGTGCTGTTTTTGGGAAAAAGCTGGGCTGCCAATCTGAAATTCAAGCCACAAAAATGCCATCTCCTGCAAAAATCTATACGTTATCTCGGGCATATCGTTAGCGAATCTGGCATTGCAACGGATCCCGAAAAAACTGTGTCAGAATATGGCCTATGCCCTCACGTCGGTGGGAGAGGTGTGAAGCTTCCTTGGTTTCGCTTCATACTACCGCTGCTTCGTTGCGAAATTTGCCGTCGCTAAACCGCTCAATGTCTTGATGGCAAAAGGTCAGAAGTTTCATTGGGGTGATGCTGAGGAGGCCTCGTTCCAGGCACTTCGAGAGGCTCTGGTCGACGCGCCTCCTCCCCGCTATCCCGATTTTTCTGTTCCTTTTATCCTTGATACGGATGCGAGCAACACTGATATTGGCACCGTCCGGTCACAGGTCGTTGACGGGGTTGAGCGTGTTATCGCGTACGGTAGTAGAGTTCTCTCACCGACTGAACAACGCTACTGCATAACTCGCCGTGAACTGCTAGCAATCGTGTTCTTTGTCTGCATGTACCGGCCATATCTGTACGGGAGGAAGTTCACGGTGCGTTCTGACCATGCGGCATTGCAAATATGCCCTACGCGTTAATCAGCCATCCGGCCAGTTATCAAGGTGGCTGGAAATCCTTCAGGATTTCTCATTTCAGGTCATGTACAGGAAAGGTACCCAGCATTCCAACGCTGATGCCCTATCTCGGTTGCCAATGTGCACTGATTGCGCTTGCCTTTCGGGCTCTGGTCGGTACAAGCGGCCCATAGTTGATTCGGCCCCACCTCTGGCAGCCTCGGCTGATGTAGGGCCTCGGGTGGACGCCGCCAGCCCAGTTGCATGCGACACAGTATTGCACCTCGAGCTGGCCGAATGGGGTCGTCTTCAGATTGAAGACATTTCATTGATTAAAATGCGCCGCCGTACCGCTCGGTCAGACGAGGGGGTCGATCCGGAGTGTGTGGCGCCTGTCGTTCTGAGGGATGGGGCTGCTGATGCGCCGAGATGACGCCGCCTGCAGACACGTTCTCGTTGTTCCCACGACTCTCCGTGGGAGGATTGTGTGGGCCGTCCACGATCGGCTGATGCACCTGGGTGTGCACAAAACTTTAGACACCATTCATAAATACTTTTCTGGCCGGGCATGGCAGCTGATGTTGAAGGGATGCGTGCAATGCACACGACGAAATCGCCTGGTAAAGCCCTGTCGCCCACCGTTATAATCAATCAAAGTTTAGCGGGTCAGTGAGCTTGTTGCTCTTGGCATCTTGGGGCCCTATCCTGCCACCCGTCGCGGAAATAAATTTGTTGGTTGGAGCAGAATACTTCACACGTTGGCCCATGGCCTGGCCTCTCCCCAACCAATCTGCGGCGGCCATCACGGAGGCATTCTTGAATGGTATCTGATCACAGGTGGCATTCGGGCAACAAATCGTGGCTTCACTGCCCTCAGGTCCCTGTGAGGACGTCTCCCAAGTTAGCTAAACTGTGATGGGGGCCCCGTTATCGTAGTACGTGTGGTTCGGCCCCAATGCATGCAGATTCGGTGGGGTCGCTGCTGCTGGTACGTGTATCCGTCACGTCTTAAGCCGTTCTTTGACTCACACGCTCCCGATTCATCCCCACTTAGTCCGGGCCATTTGTGTGAGGTGTCCGATGAGCCATGTTGTGTGCCTACTGATGCGGAACAGCGTAAGTTCTTGCCCCTTTCTCCAGGCACCGCACAATTGACGCCTGCACCGGCACCGCTGACGTCTGCTCCGCCGAGCCCTGCCAGGAGGAGCTCCCCCATCACCCCGGACACTCAACCCAAACAGCCCTCTGCCACGCCGCCGTCACCGGCGACGTGGCAGAGGGCTGTGGCGGCCCGGCCATGAGGACTCGGTCCAGAACTCGAGATTTTCTTGACCCCGACTCGCATACACACATTGTGAAGTGTGTGAGGACACACTTCACAATGAGTACAGTCCACTTTGTTCATTCTTGTTTTTGTTGATCGGTTGTACATAGTGTAAATTTGTACAGGTGGGCTCGGGTATTTATATCGGGTCACTCACCTTCCCCGCGGTTGTTATTGATGTTATAGTTGAGGCTCGAATACCTTGTTAATTGTTGTACCCTTCAGGTTTACTGACAGCTGGGACGGCCGGGTGCTACGGAGGAGGGGGGGGGGGGTGATGTTGCGCCATATCAAGGCGCTCTGTCTTCTGTCACCATGCTCACAGGCCTATAGGGGGCAGCCGGGAGAGTGAGCGGGAGGTGTAGTGGTTAACCTCGGGTAACCCCCCCCCCCCCCCCCCCCCCCCGGGTGCCCCGTGAACGGAGGTAGAGACTCCAGACCCCAAGGGCTCGGGACTGGGGGCCAACGGTTCATTCCCGACCCTTCTGGAAGGTTCAAGGAAAGGTGTGGCAAGGGGCGGGGTAAGCTCCAACTTGTGTATAAAAGCCGGTCCTCTCATCAGGACCGGCAGCGTTCGTCCACTCAAGACCCGAAGACATCTGAAGGCTAGTCCAGCACCCTGGGACCCTCAACCGAGGCTCTTGTAAGAGCTGGGTTGCAGCGGACCAGCGGTGAGACCCGTACCCTGACTAGGTCGGGTCAGTCTAGCCTCCCCTAGCTCCCATAGCGGAGGACCTGTGAGAGCATAGCCCGGAGTCTGTAGGGCCCGCTAGAAGGGAGGCTGTACCTCCCTTAGGTTATCGGGTGAAGGGGCCGCATCCCGTAGTGTTACAGGGGCCATAACCCTTAGTCTTACGGCTATTGTTATTGTTATCGTTTATTTGAAATAAACGCGTTGCCTCCAAGGGAGAAGTCTCCCTCGAAGTTTATACCCACAACACGTACACAAAGGATAACATCTTCTGTGGGAATTTTATTTCTTTAAACGCAAAGTGTAGTTTTAAATGTTTTAAAGTGTAGTTTTAAATGTTTTTCACACATTTGATGGAAAATATTCTGTCTCTGAAACAGTGATGTACAGTACAATATTGTGGTGTACAGTATTGTGGTGTACAGTGATGTAATTATTGTGGTTTCCAAATTGCCTATTTTCAGTCAGAAGGTGAACAAGTATGGTGGTGGGTGCTCTCATTCCACTACATTGTTACACAGTATATATAGCTTCTCATAAAATTACTGCCAATAACAATCGCAAGAAAACATCTAATAACTGTATTTAATAATAATAAAAAACATTAAATGCAACAACATGGATTGAATTTGGGTTTATATCATTGATACCGATTTACTTTTCATAACAAACTTTGGGGTCTAGGAACTCCAAGAGTTTGGGAAAGATATCGGTAAATTGCTCTTTTAGAAGTAAAACTTAACTCTTAAAGAATCAGAAGATTTGAAATAATATCTGGACCATCACGTTTTATAAGACATTGTATATAAGCGATGGCCTTGAACTTAGGCAGTGGTTCTTAACCTGAGGTGGATGCACCCCCTGGGGGTGCGAGATGCCCTTTCTGGGGGTGCGAGACGTGGCCAGATTTCTTTAGAAGGTAAATCATCGAAACGCACATTAAGCACGGGCACGTAAGTACAACTACTTTGTTTCATAAAACCTATGCATTTATTAACATATATATTTGAACGATTGAGAACCAAACGAGTGCAAGGCTGTAGTAAAGGTTAAGAACCACTGAACTAAGGGAATAATCATTTGAACACAGATGCTTTGTCGACCTGAGTGAACACGTTTTTGCTGTCCTCCATTCTGACAGTGTACTCCTCACCGATGATCTCAACGTCAGGTGAGTGCACGGCTGAATCCTCCATAGTGAGGCTGTCTTCGTCGAAGTGGCGCTGGAACTGGACGGCGTGGAGGCATCGTCGTTGGCACATCACCGGTGTGAGCACCAGCAGGAAGAACAGCAGCAGCAAGCCCAGAAGTGCAGCCGCAGCGTTGGAGAAATGCGAGTATTCTCTGTCCGTTAAAACTACCTGGCACTTGGGAGCTTTCAGGATCCAGGCACTTTCTTATCTGCGCACAAGTAAGAAACAACCTTGATTCTTTCTACACAGGGTGCGGTTACGACGTCTAATATTCCAATGCTCAAACAAATAACTTAGCATAGTGACAATCTAAAACTCCTACAAACGTTTACAATTATAAATTCTAGACCATACGTTGATACATTCATTTGGTATTTGTGCCATTTCTTACAAAGATGCAGTGTTTCACATATGGAATTAGTCTGCCAGTAACGAGCGATGTTACTACGTGTAACATGCAGGCTTTCGCGATCAATATTATCCAAGATAATTTGGGTCAGATCGCATAAATATAGTCCGAAACAGGAGGCTTTCTCCACAACTCTGGCTGTTGCCTGATGACGCTGGTTGTTGTAATTACCTGCGAAACGTCACGGGTACTCTAATTGTAAATGTTGTGGGTTTACTCTCCAACACAGAACCAGTTATTGCTGAACTAGTACATGACAAACCTTGCTAATTGACTGTGTGAGATGGTGGGGGGTTCAACGACACATTTATATTTACTCCATCTAACCCCAAAAAAAACCTCTAATGGATGACTGTGTAATCCAAGTATACACAGGAATATTTTGAAAGAAAGACATCACTGTGCATCCAGTAAGCCCCAGGCCAACAGAAAGTACCTTTCACAAACTATATTGGCTATTCAATCAGTGCATGTTTGTATGTCATATTTTTTAAATGACTTGAAAAATATATAATCCAACTCAATACAATAGTCACTCTTGCTACTTACAATATTATATCTATAATGTAATAAAAGTAATGTATTGTGACTGAAAATATAACCAACTACAATATCAACAAAGTGCTGCCCCATGCACCAATATCTCAACTCTTCAGGACCTATCTCCACCCTACCCGACATCTCTGCATACGCTATATCCTTACGCCAGCTGCAGCCAAGACTCTCATCAGTGCATTTAGCACATCCGGAACCTGTCTGCTGCAACTCTCTCCTCTATGGATACACCAAATCTCTCGTCAATGCACATTGGTATATGGGGTGCATGGCCAGGACTGGTTCAGATGTTTGCTTGGCATTGACACCATTACTCATCAAATTTGTGACTGCTGTAATTAGTGGGCTCAAACGGGCTGCCTCCGAGATTATAACTAAAATGGGATCGTATCTTTATTGTAATTTATAGAGCACCTTGACCAAGGTGAAGATGAATAAAATACAAGGAAGGAATTAATGGGTGAACCCTGCGATGCGTGAATTTAGTTATAAATAATACAACAGTGAAGAGCAAATTATGACGAATGGATTCGATGGATGGGGAATGAATGGTAGCAACAAGGAGGTTAAGATGCCGTGAGATGCGCTAGGGGAAAACAAAAGTGAGTTGCGACGGAGAAGTGGAAGCTAATTAGCGAAGTTGACTGCTCAATGTGGCATTGAGCGGAATGACATGACTCAACCCACCCGTGTTTTGGCGGCCGCGCTCCCTCAGCGCCCACCTCCCACTGAGCCAGACCCTGCTCTGGGATGTGCTGGTAGACCAGGGGGCCGCCTGGCTCCGCAGCGTGGTACAGCGCCACGCATGGCCCTCGTGCATCTGTCTATTATTGCACAAAGACAAAGATCCCCCGTATAATCTAGATTAGAAGTTATCGTGACTGCAGGGATCCATACTCTTTGGTTCTTTCGGTAAAGTCACGTAGGTAAAATATTAAATAAATTAGCCTGAAAAGACTTGTAGGAAAAGTGCTGTTTGCAAGTACGACCTATGAAGGCCGGCACAGCACACGAGGGGGGTTGGTGGCCAAAAGCACGCCCGGACGCCTTTGTCTCCCCAGTGGCGATGTTTACACAACACACCAGGTACTCATTTGAGGCCGAAACGACCTAGGGGAGGCCCACCACCAGTTCAGATAATCGTCACTGGTGTTGGCCGTGAGCAGGAATCGAACTCGGGTACCCGGGTTCGTAGCGCAGCGTGCTAATCACTGCACTAATGCTCCCCACTATTGCACAAAGACAAAGATCCCCTATATAGCTTGTACAGACTGTTGGGTCCCTCGTGCATCCATCTATTATTGGACACACATACACACATACAGGCATGCGTAAACACATTTGTTTAACAAAGCAGGTATTCCTCTGTTTACAAACAAGGGATGCGTACCTCGAAAAGCACACATTACAGTGAGGGAAAAAAAGTATTTGATCCCCTGATCATTTTGTACGTTTGCCAACTGACAAAGAAATTATCAGTCTATAATTTTAATGGTAGGTTTATTTGAACAGTGAGAGACAGAATAACAACAAAATCCAGAAAAACGCATGTCAAAAATGTTATAAATTGATTTGCATTTTAATGAGGGAAATAAGTATTTGACCCCCTCTCAATCAGAAAGATTTCTGGCTCCCAGGTGTCTTTTATACAGGTAACGAGGTGAGATTAGGAGCACACTCTTAAAGGGAGTGCTCCTAATCTCAGCTTGTTACCTGTATAAAAGACACCTGTCCACAGAAGCAATCAATCAATCAGATGAAAGAAACACAAAAGAACTGTCAATCTCCCTCGCCTGGGGCTCCAAGCAAGATCTCACCTCGTGGAGTTGCAATGATCATGAGAACGGTGAGGAATCAGCCCAGAACTACACGGGAGGATCTTGTCAATGATCTCAAGGCAGCTGGGACCATAGTCACCAAGAAAACAATTGGTAACATACTACGCCGTGAAGGACTGAAATCCTGCAGAGCCCGCAAGGTCCCCCTGCTCAAGAAAGCACATATACATGCCCGTCTGAAGTTTGCCAATGAACATCTGAATGATTCAGAGGACAACTGAAAGTGTTGTGGTCAGATGAGACCAAAATGGAGCTCTTTGGCATCAACTCAACGTGCCGTGTTTGGAGGAGGAGGAATGCTGCCTATGACTCCAAGAACACCATCCCCACCGTCAACCATGGAGGTGGAAACATTATGCTTTGTTTTTCTGCTAAGGGGACAGGACAACTTCACCGCATCAAAGGGACGATGGACGGGGTCATGTACCGTCAAATCTTGGGTGATAACCTCCTTCCCTCAGCCAGGGCATTGAAAATGGGTCGTGGATGGGTATTCCAGCATGACAATGATCCAAAACACACGGCCAAGGCAACAAAGGAGTGGCTCAAGAAGAAGCACATTAAGGTCCTAGAGTGGCCTAGCCATTCTCCAGACCTTAATCCCATAGAAAATCTGTGGAGGGAGCTGAAGGTTCGAGTTGCCAAACGTCAGCCTCGAAACCTTAATGACTTGGATAAGATCTGCAAAGAGGAGTGGGACAAAATCCCTCCTGAGATGTGTGCAATCCTGGTGGCCAACTACAAAAAAAGTCTGACCTCTTTGATTGCTAACAAGGGTTTTGCCACCAAGGACTAAGTCATGTTTTGCACAGGGGTCAAATACTTATTTCCCTCATTAAAATGCAAATCAATTTATAACATTTTTGACATGCGTTTTTCTGGATTTTTTTGTTCTTATTCTGTCTCTCACTATTCAAATAAACCTACCATTAAAATTATAGACTGATCATTTCTTTGTCAGTGGGAAAACGTACAAAATCAGCAGGGGATCAAATACTTTTTTCCCTCACTGTAAATGACGTGGCTTTTCCCATGAATTTAATACCAAAAATTAAGGATGTGCTTCAGTCGTTCCAACTCTACTCCTGATCTAAAAATATACAGCTATACCAGAACATGTTGTGAATAATAAAATGTATTAATCTAAACCCTGCGACTCAGTCGTGCCACTGACCACAGAACCGGCCGGCCCCGTGACCGACTCAGGGACGTCATCGCCGTGAGCGGCCGATGTGGAGGCGGGCCCTGGCAAACCGAATGCCACTCTGGTGAAAATAGTGAGGGCGGAGTTGCTGCGCAGTCTGAGCGCAAGCCGTGATCGGGGCTATGACGTTTACACACTCCCTACGACGCGCTCACCACTGCATTCTCGCTACAACGCAGTCGCCGCTGCGCGCTCACTACGACGCGTTCACCACTGCGCTCTCGCTACGATGCGCTCGATGCTGTGCACACTCAGCGAGCATGCTTGGAAAGCAGGCCGTCAACGATCGCACAGCAAATTGCTTCCGTAATCGGCGAAGGAGCGTTGTGAGCTCTGCCTGTGCCAGGGTCCGCATGAGTGTTATAGCCACAGCAATTCGCTATGTGGAGCTAATAAAGCAATCCCCCAAACACTGCTGCGTTACCGCACCACGTGGCAAAAGGAGCGCGCTCCCCCCCCACCCCCCCGTCTCAGCACGCTGGCGACTCCCCCGCCTCACTGGGCGTTGTCATGTAACGCAGCGGCGAACCTTCCTTATTTTTGCACATTCTTGCCTAACATTATGTTTTTAGGTGTTGTGTTTCTGTTCACATCGGTTTATTGTATAGTAGTAGGGTAGAAGCAGTTCTTTAGCATCAATATGCTAAATTCCTCTGTTATATGTAAACTCCTTTGTCAAGGCGCTCTGCTCCTCCCACCCAGCTTAAAATACGCTGCCAAGCTAAGCAGTGTTCATTAGGACGCTGTCTTTCCGACAGCTCTGTTCTTCACCTGTGGACGGCTGCTTGTGTTGTGGCCAAAACGTCGTGAGAATTTTATTGTTTTATTTTTATTATTTCCCTTCTACGTGACTTTTCCGAAAGATCCAAGAACACAAATCCCTGCAGTCACGAAAGCTTTAAATCGAAAATTGTCTTACATTTGTTTGTGAAATTTGCATAAACATACAAAGACAAAAATAAATATCCTACTGTAAAAAGTTTGTATTTACTGTATCCTACTTTGCACTCCAATCTCGAAGACTGCATGGGGTGATGTACATAGTAAGTAGTAGTACTACTACACTCTTGATTCTCAACAACTTGTGTTTGACGATCGCCAGATTGATGTGAACGCCAAATTACATGCACTTTTTGCCGGATCACTGTATATTTTATTTTTATTAGTTATGAAAGATGTATATACGTGAAGTATATTTATTGTTTAAATTGTATTATGTAGTGTATAATGAAGTGAATATATTTGACACTAAAATCAAGCAAATCTACTTTTCTTTCTAATGCACACGGTGCCAATCGCCGGACTGGTTACAGCCTTCAGAGCGGTTTTGCCAGATCAGCCCGGGACCACCGGATAATGTTGGAGCCACAGAAAATTGTTCAGCACCAGATAATCGTTGATCAACTGGTTATATCTAAACGTGTAACTCTAACTACTAGATGGCTTTAGCCTTGTTGTCTACAACTCGTCCCCCCCAGGTGCAGAAATTAAGCAGCGAGGATTTTGGATAGGGAGCCTGGAAAAGGGCAATGATGAGCGCAGAGCGTTCCATGGCCCAAAGGGGAATTGCTGAACGTGAACAAACCATTGGACTGGTGACCGGCAGCATAGGACGTAGAGAAAACACGCAGCGCTCCGTTTACCACCAAATGGCAGTATTGTCATTGTTTGTTCTTTTACCATTTAGGCTTCTTTACCCACGAAAGCCTCACTCAATCTCAAGGCTCTTTTTCAGGAAGGCCTTGCAAAGTATTTTTTTGCAGTTGGAGAGAGCGACGTTGTCGATGCGTAATTCCAACCAAGATAATTGCAGGTATTTTTTCCCCCCAAAATTGAATTGGAATGTTTTTTGCGCAAAGACCAGTTTCAGATAGCAGACTCTGCCAGGTAAGTGTAAACCACGGTTTGGCATGCACACACACACGCAGCAGCACACGCAAACCTGGCACTCACCACTGTGCTGGCCACCAGCGGCACGCCATCCACGCAGCTGCGCACCGCTAGCAAGGTGCAGCGGGGCCACTCGGGCCCATAGGGGAGTCTCTCCCCGGCACCAGCAGCAGCGGAAGCGGGGCCCTCGAAGGGTGGTGGGCTAAGCCCCCAGAGGCGCACCTGTACTGTCTGCACCGGAAACTCCAGCAGCTCCACCGGGATGGCTCGCAATCTGAAAAGCATTTGTGATAAGGCCATCATCGCCGTGAGAAACACAACACTAGTCCCTCGGTTAACAGCGACATCAGTTCAACGGTTTTTGCGGTTAACGTTTCGCCTGCCATAGGGCACCCCCCCCCCCCATGGTTGACTAATATTAACATTGTTGACTAACATATTAACGTTATGCATGCGGTGGCGCCAATTTGTACTTATCCGAGCGCTTGTACGTGGGGCTGAGCTATGCTCTCAGCCAATCAGTGACACTCATTTATGAGCCGTTTAGACCTCCACTGGCTTTGCTTACATTATACCTTCTGTTTTTGGGAGTGAAAACAGCTCTCTTCAGTTATTTCAGTTAACAGTAGTTTCGTGGAATGGATTAGAAACGTTAACCGAGGGGCTACTGCACTGTGTGTGGTGGGTCCCTAATTGTGGTGCCACGGTACAAAAGCGCACCCTGCCGCCATCTTTGTTTACATTCGCTCAGCCAGTGAGAGATGACGAACGCTCCAAGCCAATCAGAAACCCGCGGGTAATAGGAGCGTGAATAAGAGGACATTTCCTGCATTACAATATTGCAATATCCCATTTTTAAGGGATCACTACTATACTATGCTTTTGTTTTAGTCATAATAGATTTTTGGGTCAGATCTCCAAATTAAAATGTGTCGTGAAGCATGCTCCACTTCACAGCCAATTCATAAAGTTGCCACATGAACAGAAGTGGCAATGCATTACTACGGTGTCCTAACATTTAACAATTATGGAAAAAATAAGTATTGGATGCAAGTCACACCCAACAAATTTTGCACTTTTACCAAGCAGTGAAAAACAGAGGAGCGCTCACTCGCTGGGGCGATGCTCGTAGCAGCTGCCAAAGTCCACGTACTCCACCAGCAGGACGCTGTCGCCACCGGCGAGCATGCGGGGGCCGCACTTGACGCGAGCTCGGCACCAGCGGCCGTCCTCGCTGAACGGCGCCATGCAGAGCGAGCCTGCAGCCACAGACACGTGGAAGTTCGGGGGGGGGTCATGGACTCCCACAACAACAACGTTACAGACATATTTTGGGTCCAGGGTAGCTTATATAATTATTTAAACAATTTAGAACATATCTCCATACTGTAAACAATCGACTATTCATCTTACAATAACTAATATGCAACGTTATATGAGGATATGTTTCTAAGCTATGGTCATTGGTAAACACCGCGAGATAAGCTTAAGGCATACATGAACACAAAATACATGGCAATGGGCCACGTGAGCAAGGAGAATCGCTCGTCTTGGCAGTGCCGATGGTCAAACGCGCTCCACCACGTTAATAAACGGCCCTCTCCTCCCACAGCTCTCACCAGTTTCAAAGAATGTCGTTGCAAACCTCGCGACGAGCAGACTACGCGAATGAGGGGTGTGTGCAGGGGAGGGTGGGGGGTTACGCATTGTGGAGCACAGTTGGTGCATCTTGTCGTTTGGATCTTGCAGTACCCATCACGACACGTGCCAAATAATTATTAAATGTTTTTGCCAGACGTCCCATAGAGTAGCTAGTTACAATAATCGAGCCCCGTTGATACTATGCTACACACCACCGTGTTGGCTCCGTCACGACTCAATAATGGTCAAATGTGTCAGAGCTTGCAGTACCCATCACGACACGTGCCAAATAATTATTAAATGTTTTTGCCAGACGTCCCATAGAGTAGCTAGTTACAATAATCGAGCCCCGTTGATACTATGCTACACACCACCGTGTTGGCTCCGTCACGACTCAATAATGGTCAAATGTGTCAGAGCTTGATATGAAAATTGCTCGACCTGACATAATTTTGCACGTGATCTTGCCAGTCTGTTCCGTGACCTCCTCCTGCCAGCAGCAGGCCTTCGACCCTTCACGTTGGTCTCAATGTGCACCGAGCATGGCACAAGCGCCGTGGTGATGTCACTGCCACTTGGGTGTTGTTGTTTCAACATATGAAGCTGCAGGGGTGGCTGTTACCACACCACTCTGTTTAGCTTTCTTGGAATAAGTTTTCACATGACAAACTTGTGTATAAAAACCTTATTTGTGTGAACCTATACAAGCATGTTGTATGTGTGTATAAATGCTTACAAACAGCACTTGCCTCACAGTCTGTTCAGGCTCTACGGAGGATATTTGTTTGCATGGAACTTCTTTCGAACCATACGTAGTCAATCGTGCTAATCGGAGGTGTGGGGGAAGGACAACAAACTAAACACACACAAAGCGGTTCTACAGAAAGTTTTCTAATATCAGGAAGAGAGTTCCAGATGGACACAGCAGCACATCTGAAAGCGTACGATGTGGTGACCATCTTTGTTCGATGGCAAGTCAAAAGCCGCTGCGAGGATGACCGGAGTTCGCATGATGGTTCACATTCCTTGACGAGATCACTAAGGTATTGTGGTTGATATGTGGCGCGCACTTTGTGTGTAATGAGCATGACCTTACAGTGGAATTGTTCAGAAACTGGAAGTCAATGCAGCTTGGCGAGCACCGGACGGACATGGTCAGATCTTGCATTACCCATCACGACACGTGGCAAAGAGTTTGTACACCCTGCAGCTTGGTAATGTTTATGCCAGACGTCTCGTAGAGTAACGAGTTGCAATAATTGAGCCTTGTCGAGACGATGCTACACGCCACCGTGTTGGCTACGTCACAACTAAATAGTGGTCGAATGTGTCGTAGAGCCCTGATGTGAAAATTGCTCGACCTGACTATATTTTGCACGTGGTGATCAAACGACACATTCTGGTTGAGGATGGTGCTGAGGCTCTATAAAAGTAGAAAACTGTAAATTCGGAAAGCACAACAACGTTTATTGTGAGCACTGCATCGTCTTACTTACCAACATTAAAATCCTTTTGTGGAGAAAGGCGGATCGGTGATGTGTGGATTTTAATTAAAGCGGCGATCAGATTGGGGTTGAGGCCTTGCTCATACTCTTGGCCCTCCAAGAGAGGCGTGGGCGGGGTGCTGGCAGACAGGCGGATGTACACCTACGTGGTGGGATCATTACCAAGAGATCACGACACCAAGAGATAACGAAATCAATTCACTGGACCAAGAATAACTGTAGCACAAAACGAGTATCTTGCTGTCTCTCTGTTCCTCCTTTTCCTTGCGCTCAATCCACGCTTGCACTCTTTTTCTCTTCTTCCCCCCCCCTTCACTGGAACAAACTTCCCCCTTCACATTAAGCAGTGAACTAGTTTCCGCTCCTCACTCAAAACTCACACTTATTGTTCCTTAGTTCACCCCACGACCCCCCCCCCCCCCTTTAATCTCCCCCTCATAACCGCCACCGTTACTTTTCCCTCTTCATATTCTCATATTGCTTTCACTCATTCCCCATTCATTCAATCCATGTATCATCATTGACCGTCATCAATTTTGCTTTCACCGAATTCCCGCATTACCAATTTTCTCCCATTGCTTCCTCTCAACTATTTTATTCACCTCATCATTACATTCATACATTGTTGCATCGTTGTTAATTATTTGTAAAGCGCCTTAGTTAAGGCGCTTTATAAATTATTTTAAGATAACAGCGCCATATGCAATACACATTTAGGATAGCAGTTTATTTAGCTTTACGCAGCTCATTTTTAATGTTAGGTGTGAGGGCTGTTTAATAATCCTGGGCAACGGCCAATACCTTTGTAGTCAAACACAATGACAACACTTCTCTCATTCTACCAGATCCCAAAGCTTTTGCAGGAATCGGCAGCCAACCTTGAAGGTCTCTGCTCTCTCATAGTCACCAACTGGTGGCTTTAGTTCTTTCCCTTCAGTCGCCAGCCTCTGGATGCCACTCCCGTGGCCGTTCTGTGACTTGCCCCCTCCTCTATCATGCAAAAGTAACCCCCCCCACCCCCTACGTTTGCCTGTTAAATCTTAACGCTGCCTCAAATATGTTATAAAATACAAATACATTGCTCTTCAGATTATTGCAATTCAGTATGATGCAGCACAACTCAACGTACAGTAGAATCTCAATTATCCACGCTAATGACGGGGAGGATGGCCGCGGATAATTCAAAATCGCATATAATCCAAAAATATCCATTCTCTGCAGATATCTATGCCAAAAAACACTAACATAAATATATTAAAACTCACAAAATAAATGATCGGATAAATAAATCAAATGAAGCTGAACTGATTTCGATTGTTACTCTTTAGATTTAGAACGAATCCTAACAATCATTCTATCGTTAGGTTTTCATGGCCTTGCTCAGTGATAACACTTTCCAGCTCCCGTGCAGAATACTCGGTCCACTAAGGAGACGGCAGCAGAGCCATGCCAATCAACATCAATCAAACTCCACCCACTGCTGTAAATATTTGCAACTACTCGACTGTAGGGGTGATCACGTGGATGTAGGATCAACCGGAGCAACATATTTGTTCAGTTTAAGCACATGACTTGTAATAAACATTGAATAACAATGTATAACTGTTTTTAGATTATTAATTTGGGCTTAAGAGAAAATCCATGAGTTGTTAATTTGTCAAAATCTTAAGTGCGAGGTTAATCAGAAAATCGGATAAACTGCATGCAGATAATCGAGAATCTACTGTATTTGGATTCCTGATGATGCCACCGCCACTCTCGACATGGACAGTGTCTACTTGTTAACCATCGCTGTTACCTGATTGGGAAGTTCCAAATGGGTGACCGAGACTGGGTAATAGTGTCCTGGGGGTGGCAGCGTCATAAAACTAAGACTGGTTGGCCTTTGCTGCAGCGTGAATACCTGCACGACACCGTACACACCACATCAAGAATACACATGGAGAAAACACCACAATATTTTCTTAGCCCAAAGTAGTAAACACAGGTTGAATTAAAAGTGATTACTCGTGTGTCTTCCGGAATAAAATCTACCAAGCTTAGCCTTTCTGGAATTCAGGCTGCAAAATCCTTGCTAATATTGCCTTGCTTAAAAAAACCTCCGATTGGTTACTTTGGGTATGGGATTCAGAAGTCTGTTTCCACTTTCCCACTGGCACATTCAAGCCGTGCCAAACCATCCAGGCACGGCTCAGAAGGTACCAGGTGTTGTATATATATAGGCCTTTTTCCAAAATTGATGTTAATAATAATTCTGGCAATTTTTTTTTTATTAATCGTAGTGTCGCGTGGGGGCAAAAGGGGGTGAGGTGAACCCCCATCCCCTCACAGCAGCAGCCCTTCTCACTCGGAAACAGGCAGCCGGAGATAAGCCATAAAAGATAATAAAAACCCAAAACAAAAGAGAAGGGGGGGAATTCCCCATGAGAGTCTGGAAAAATCCCGACACGGCTTCAAAGCCTCGCCAGCTTCCAGGGCAGCGAAAACCGGACAGACAAGTTTTTGGGTTATTTTAATTAACAGAAAGTCAAAAAACTCAGCAACAAGAATAAGTGAGCATCATAGATCAACACACTCACTCCGATTAAAAACCAGGCTACAATCTACAGTAGTGGGTTATCAACGCTCATATATGAGTTTAATACTGTTATTCACCTTAAAATCTATAACATCTTGCCGTCTATGTGACTTTACAAAATTCAAGGAATATGAATTCCAGCAGTCAAGAAGCTTAACTGAAACTTAGTTATACCTCTAACCTCAGGACATCAAAATATAACTCGAGTATAACAGCATGGATCCCTGGATACAGACGGGGGAACGAAGGTTAATAAAACCCTAGGAAATCTTAAATAACGAATCTTGGGAAACATAAACCAAATAATAATTATGAAGTATTAAACCGGGGGTAATCCGGAAGAGATGAGGTGAAATAGGTCAAACTTACATAACTAAAATAAAATGTATCCCAGAGAGAAAGAGAGTCTCCCTACCGCCTTTGTCTTCCAGCAGCATGTGATAGAATTTGCATACGCAGGCAGAGGACATCTCCTCTTGAAAATGAAAATCAAATACCACGATGGAAGCAATTTAAACGCTGCTAAAAACATACCTTGAGTCACGTACAGAATCATAACGACAAAGTGGTACGGTATCAAGTTATGAGGTAAAATAAAATGTTTAACTTCAAAAGCCTCAACACACCCCTTAATTTCGATTTAAAGCTTTCAAGACTGCAAGGATTACTCGTCTTTGGTTCTTTCGGTAAAGTCACGTAGAATGAGAATAAAATAATAAAATAAGACAATAAAATTCTCACGACGTTTCAGCCACAACACAAGTAGCCTTCTTCAGGTGAAAGAACAGAACTGTTGGGACGACAGAGCTTGAAAGAACGCTGTTAAGATTCGTAGCGTCTATTAAGCTCGGTGAGAGGCGTGGAGAGCCTTGACAAAGGAGTTTACCTATTAAAGCAGGATAATTTAGCATTGAAATAGCTGAGGGATTAGCTTGTGACAGAAATAGCTGTGTTAAAGTCAAAGTTTACATATCAACAGAGGCATTTAGTATATGGACGTTAAAGGCCTCCAACTACCAACTATCATGAAGTAAACGGTGTGAAAAAACTAAATCTATATTACATCATTATAAATGTACTTAATATATTCTTCAATAAGCTGAGCTATTAATCACAAAGCAACTGGGGATACACTACACTATATAATGAATACTATATAGTAAACCAATAAAAAAAACAAAATATAAGCTCCCTCAATCTTATCAGTGAACTCTATATACTCTCCAATCAGCTGAGCCACCAACAATAAGTCATATATCAATGCCATATGGCGAAAAATGGTGGGGTTTTTTTCTTCCTTCCCCTCACCGCTAGCACCACGGACAGCGACGTTCAGGCGGACGAGTCAATCCATGCTCGGAACGGAGGAGGGGGGAGAGGGAAACAAGATCCCACCAACAACCTGGTTACCAAAACGAACAAAATCATCTCTGATTCAACAGCATTAATTGATCAGACCAAACAGTTCTCGTTGAAACCCTCTGCTGCCAGACCACCAAGATTATATGGCCTCCCAAAGATACACAAAGAGGATACACTGCTTCGTCCCATCGTCTCTACTATAAACTCCCCCACCAATAAACTTGCACGTTTACTGGCTGATATACTGCGACCTTTCACTGGAAAAACCACCTTTGCGGTACTAAATTCTACTCACCTGGTATCGACAATCAAAGGAATTTCCCTGTCCCCAGACGACCTGCTTGTCAGTTTTGATGTGGTGTCCTTATTCACCAAAGTTCCGGTACCTGACACCATCGCAATCATTGAAGACTTGGTTCATCAAGGACTGCATACTGATGTACCCCCCCTGGTGAGACATTGCTTAACCAACACATACTTCACCTGGAATGGAACTTTCTACAAACAGACTGAGGGCACCCCAATGGGCTCCCCCCCCCCTGTCTCCGGTTGTAGCCAACGTATTCATGGAAAAATTTGAAACTGACGCCATTCCAGACTGCCACTCTACGCCCGACCTTATGGAAGAGGTACGTGGATGACACTTTTGTCATCTGGCCACATGGCCAGCCTGCTCTAGACCAATTTCTCGACCACATCAATTCCATGCACCCATCCATCAGATTTACCATGGAGGTCGAAAAAGATGGCAAGCTACCCTTTTTGGATGTCTTAATTAAAAGGAGACCTGATGGTTCAATGAGCCATTCTGTCTATAGAAAAGCTACCCATACAGATGCTTACTTGAAACCAGATTCCCACCACCATCCATCCCAGAAGAATTCCCTCATCAAGTCTCTACATCATAGAGCCCAATGCATTTCTGACCAGGAACACATTGCCAGTGAACTCAAGCACGTACACCAGGCTCTCAGAACTAATGGTTACTCCAACTACACAATCCGCAAAGCCATCACTCCAGTCATGAAGAAGGATCCTCTTGAGGAGCCACTCAAAACCATCACCTTACCCTACATTGCAGGGGTCACTAAAAATATCTCCAAAATCCTGAATAAACACAAGATCCAGGTCCGATTCAACACAGTACATAAATCCGTGATCTGGTTTCTTCTGTAAAAATGCTGTACCAGACATACAGTTTCCAGGCGTTTACAAACTTAAGTGCATCTGTGGTAGCAACTACATTGGGGAAACCAAACGACATATCTCGGACCGCATCCGCGAACATAAAGCAGACTTGAAACACGGTAGGACGAATTCTTCTGCCGTGGCAGATCACTGTTATAATTCAGTGGGTTCACATGACATTGACTTCTCCAAGACGGAGGTTCTTTGCAAGCCAACTGGCTACCATGAGAGATTCGTTCATGAGGCCATCCACATTTACAAGCATAGACAATTTCAACCGTGAAGATGGATTCTGGCTTAGTAACCATTGGAAAGATGTTTTAAACCATTTCGGTTCTTAATTAATTGTATTTTACGGTGACCGTCAGACCGCAGCTCTTTCGCTGGCATTGCCTCTTAATACCTCTCACACCACGGTTAATGGTATGGTTTATAACATGGAGTATAACAGCGCATTGGAGTTGTTTCCCTCTCCCCCCTCCTCCGTTCCGAGCATGGATTGACTCGTCCGCCTGAACGTCGCTGTCCGTGGTGCTGGCGTTGAGGGGAAAGGAAAAAAACACCATTTTTCGCCATATGGCATTGATATATAACGACTGATTGTTGGTGACTCAGCTGATTGGAGAGTATATAGAGTTTATTGATAACATTGAGGGAGCTTATATTGTTTTTTATTGGTTTACTATATGGTATTCATTATATAGTGTAGTGTATACCCAGTTGCTTTGTGATTAATACTCAGCTTATTGAAGAATATATTAAGTACATTTATTATATTGATGTAATATAGATAAAGTTTTTCACATCGGTTTACTTTATGATAGTTGGTAGTTGGAGGCCTTTAGCGTCCATATACTAAATGCCTCTGTTGATATGTAAACTTTGACTTTAACACCGCTGTTTCTGTCACAAGCTAATCCCTCAGCTATTTCAATGCTAAATTCTCCTTCTTTGATAGGTAAACTCCTTTGTAAAGGCTCTCCACGCCTCTCACCGAGCTTAAAAGACGCTACGAATCTTATCAGCATTCATTCAAGCTCTGTCGTCCCGACAGTTCTGTTCTTTCACCCGAAAAAGGCTACTTGTGTTGTGGCCGAAACGTCGTGAGAATTTTATCGTCTTATTTTATTTCATTATTTTATTTTCATTCTACGTGACTTTACCGAAAGAACCAAAGAAGAGGCAAAATAATGTCACACCGGGAGGGAAGAGAAGAGGGGGGAGAACTCGACCGGACAGGGGGAACCCCCCTTTCCTTCCAGATTAATTGTGACAGAGGGTTGCAGAAGAAGGACGCACTCGGGGGCAATCTGGAGCATCTGTTTCCTTTTGATGGCGGGATGGCTTGAGGAAGGCGACAGGAACCATGCCTTGATGAAACTTATATTACTTCAATAAATATGACACACAAACAGGCCGGACAAACAGCTGTTCCCACAGGCTGAGAGCGAAATCAAAGGAAGTTCCGGTCCTTTGTGAGAAGGCGAGCCGAGGTGGGCGAAATTCCACATATAACCAGCAAGACGACACACACAGTTGAGCTCTGCAAGGAAGAGTGCTGCGAACGACAGAAACTGCGACGGGCAGACTCCGGGGCATGGCCTCGAGATCAACAATGGGTGCTGTGTCTCGCAGAGAAGAGGGGCAAGGTGATGTTTGGTGCCGAGTTCGGCATGGACCGACAGAGTATCGCTGAAAGTTTTATTTTACAGTTATCCTGATGTTTTGAGTCGCTTGCAAAGTCAAGGATTGCGATAAGTCGTATTGTACTAAGC